TCCAAATCAGGTAACTTCTTGGAAACTTTGCTTTCCGGTTATTAAGCAAATTAATAAAGTTAAAGTTCTTTCAGTGCACAAATAACTCTTAGTGTCACTGTCAATGTCAACTACTGTTTGAAGGAGAAAACTTCCCATTCACAGTTTGAGCAGAGCTTCTTTGTGAGCCTCAAAACAGAAGAGTTTGCCATTGTCTCAGAATGAGATAGAAGTTCCTTGGGAATGACTGACTTTGCCAAGTAATTTGCCCAACGGTAACCACAAGGTATAATTTCAGTCTTAGGATGAGTAAGACAAATAAGAACAATCCTTGCAGAGCAGCTAGTCATGCTGCCGTGGATGGGGTCTGAATGAACTCAGTTCTGCATGACTCAGGAACTCGGCAGCAGGCAGCTGAGCACCTACTGAGGTCACCCCAATGCAACCAGAGGCCTGGGATCCATGCACCATCACCTCCCCAAACTATACCATCTAAGAGGTCAAGCTGAAATGCCCAGGGGCAAAAAGAGAGGAAGAGTATAGCTGTGTACTCTTTTCTTAAGCTTGTGCAACCAGCTCTCAGTAAGTCACTTGCCCACAGGGTAGAGAGGGCCATACCCTGCCCATCCCTGGAGTCTGCACCACCCTCGGATGTGATCCATCCCCATGTCAGGCCTCTGCTTGCCAGCCTTGCTTGTTTCTTTTCTATGTGTTTCCTTGAAATTTGGGAGGAACACAGCTTTAGTAGGAATCTCAGGGATTTTCCTCCCCCTGGAGAGGGAATTGAGTCATATCATTGTTGAGCAGGAGAACTTGGAGCTCATCTGGTTGACACCTCCCTGATCGATGCAGGCCTGGGAAGGGTGACACAGTTGAGTGAAATAGAAGGTGACCTTCAGAGCAGAAGCCAGGTGTCCATCCAATAGTTCATGAGCTTTCCTTTCTGAAAAATCTTGGTTGCTGGCTGAGTGCTCTGGCTCATGCCTATAATCCTAGCACTTTTGGAGGCTGAGGCAGGAGGAGAGCTTGATGTTAGGAATTTGAGACCAGCCTGGGCAACATAGTGAGATCCTGTCTTTACAAATAAATTTTAAAAATTCACCAGGTGTGTGCCTGGTCCCCTTTTAAAAAATTGTGGTAGAATACGTATATAATATAACATTTGGCATTTTAACCATTTTTAAGTGTGCAGTTTAGTGGCATTAGTACATTCACGTTGTCTTGCAGCTGTCACCACCCTCCATCTCCAGAGCTTTTCCTTCTTCCCAAACGGAAACTCTGTACCCATTAAACTATAACTCCCCTTCCCTGCTTCCCTCCAACCCCTGTCATCCACCACTCTACTTTCTGTCTCTGTGAATTTGCCTATTCTAGGTACCTCATGTAAATGGAATTGTATAATATTTGTCCATTTGAGACTGGCCTACTTCACTTAGCATAAGGTCCTTCAGATTCTTCCATGTTGTCGCATGTCACAATTTCCTTCCTTCCTAAAGCTGAATAATATTCCATTGTATAGATCCACATACACAACACAATTTGTTTATCCATTTATCTGTCAATGGACACTTGGATTGTTTCCACCCTTTGACTGTTATGAGTAATACTGCTCTGAACCATGGTTGTACAAATATCTCTTCAAGATGCTGTTTTCAGTTCTTTTGTGTATATACCCAGAGTAGAATTGCTGGATCATATAATAATTCCATGTTTAATGTTTTGAGGAATCCCATATATACTCTTTTTAACAAGCATAATACAATGCCATTGTCACTCCTACAAATAAATGAATCATGACTCCTTAATCGCGTTTAATATCCAGTCACTGTCAGGTTTCCAATTGTCTTATCAATGTTATTTTAAAAATAGTTTAGGCCAGGCATGGTGGCTTATGCCTGTAATGTCAGCATTTTGGGAGGCTGGGGCGGGAGGATCGCTTGAACTCAGGAGTTCAAGACCAACCTAGGAGACATGGTAAATCCCGTCTCTACTAAAAACACAAAAAGTAGGCAGGGGTTGTAGTGTGTGCCTGTGGTCCCAGCTACTAGGGAAGCTGAGGTGGGAGGATCGCTTGGGCCTGGGAACCTGGGAGGTGGAGGCTGCAGTGAGCTGAGAACGCACCACTGCTCTCCAGCTTGGGTGATAGAGCAAGACTCTGTCTCAAAAGATAGATAGATAGATAGATAGATAGATAGATAGATAGATAGATAGATAGATAAAAGTTTCATTGTTTGAATCAGGATCCAAATAGAGTTCCTATATTACAATTGGTTGGTATGTCTTTCTAAAAAAATAAACTTAATTTTGGAATCATATTTACAGAAAAACTGCAAAGGTACTACAGAGAATGCTCATGCACTTGTTCTAATGTCAGTATCTTGCATATTACTGTATATTTGTCAAAACTAAAAAAGTAATATCAGCACTTTACTATGAGCAAACTGCAGACTTTATTCAAATTTTACTCCTTTTTCTATGAATGTCCTCTTTCTGTTTCAAGGTCCCATCCAGGACCCCATACTGCATTTAGTTATTGTGTCTCAGACTCCTCCCATTGGTGACAGGTCCTCAGGTTTTGTTTTTCATGATTGTGAAAATTTTGAAGAGTAGTGGTCAGGTATTTTGCAGAATTTTCCCTCAGTTTGGGTTTGTCCAATGTTTTTGTAATGATTAGCTGGGATTAAGACACTTTGGCATGGTGGCTCACACTTGTAATCCCAGCACTTTGGGAGGCTGAGGTGGGTGGATCGCTTGAGGTCAGGAGTTTGAGACCAGCCTGGCCAACATGGCAAAATCCCATCTTTACTAAAAATACAAAATTTAGCCAAGTGTGGTGGTGCATGCCTGTAATCCCAGCTACTTAGGAGGCTGAGGCACAACAATCACTTGAATCTGGGAAGTGGAGGTTGCAGTGAGCCGAGATTGCACCACTGCACTCCAGCATGGGTGACAGAGTGAGACTCTATCTCAAAAAAACAAACAAACAAACAAACAAAACTAAAAAGAACTGTTTGGGAAGGATTTCACAGAGGTGATGTGCCCTTCTCGTCAGAGTGCATCAGCAGTACATGATGTCCCCACAACATCTCTGGTGATGTTAACCTTCATCGCTTGGTTAAGGTAGTGTCTGCTAGGTTTCTCTACTGGTAAGTTACTAAATTTCCCCTTTCCATACTCTGTTATTTGGAAATGAGGCACTAAGTCCATGATATATCTGTAAATCTATTTTAATTTATAAAATAAAGTCTGTATAGAGGGGAACCTTCTCTTTCTATCGTTTCTTTTCTTTTTTTTTTTCCGAAATTTATTTGTTGAGGAAATCAGGTCATTTATTTGTCTCGTACTGTGTCCTGCAGTGTGATGTATTTTACACCTTCCCTTGCCCTCTGTATTTCCTATAAGCTGGTATTTGGAACTGGAGGCCTGATCTCCTTCCTGTTTCACTCCTTCAGCAGGACCACTTCCTGAGTAGAGTTGTGGACTTCTGTCAGGAGGCTCCTCGTATCTCTTTTTTGTGAAGTTAGCAGCTATTGATTCTCAACGTGTTGCTTTGATTCTAATAACACCTTTAAGTTCCCTCAGGACTTACCTTATCAAAGTACTTTTGTAAGTGAAGACAGCTCATTTTCTCCCCTCATTGCACATAGTATCTTCAGGAAATCGAAGTTACTGCCATGGTAAAGAACACTGTTATTTTATATACAATTAAGAAGAAAAAAGCACTGCAAATTAATCTACAATACAATGCTTTCTTACATTGTCAGTATAATTTTGAGGCAAACTGAAGAATACCAAGGGTGAGTTACCATTTTCCTTTTTAACTAAACTCATAGTTTTATTTTTCTCTCAGTTGAATCTCATTTTCTAGAAGTCAAGCCAACATCAGTGGGAAGCCTCTGCTGATGGATGCCTGGTGTGCTGATGGCAGCCTGTGCAGCATGGGCGTGGGTCACACCAGCTTTCATGGCATGACTTTGGCTCTTCCTTCATCTACCCCACGTATTCAGCAGTTTCTCCTGTCCTTCCTTGCATTGCTTGGTGTGTGGTCTGTTCTTCTGCCTGCTCCTCTGTGACGAGACAGCTTATTCTAATTCTGTGTCTTCGGCATTCTTGCCTAAGTCCCATAAGCACTTGGTTATAGCTTTGCAAGAAAATATAGAATTATGGCCATTCCTCTAGTGACAAATATTTGCTATTCTCCTATTAAATATCTGCCCCACTGCTGCATTTCCATGCGTCACTGCACCCACACCAACTTTTAGTTTCCTTATTGAATCGGGTTACAATCTTTTTGATGCTATTTTATTTTAGGTTCAAGGGGTACATGTGCAGGTTTGTTACATGGGTAAATTGCATGTCGTAGGGGTTTGGTGTACAGATAATTTTGTCACCCAGGTAATCGGCATAATGCCTGGTAGATAGTTTTTCAATCCTCACCCTCCTCGTATTCTTCACCCTCAAGTAGGCCCTGGTGTTGTTTGTTCCCTTCTTTGTGTCCATGTGTACTCAGTGTTTAGCTCCCACTTCTAAGTGAGAACACCTGGAGACCATGGATTTGGTTTTCTGTTCCTGTGTTAATTCACTTAGGATAATGGCCTCCAGTTCCATTTGTGTTGCTGCAAGGGACATGATTTCATTCTTTATTATGGCTGCATAGTATTCCGTGGTGTATATGTACCATATTTTCTTTATTTAGTTCACCATTGATGGACATCTAGGTTGATTTTATGTCTTTGCTATTGTTAAGAGTGCTGCAGTTAACATACATGTGCATGTGTCTTTACAGTAGAATGATTTACATTCCTTTGGGTATATACCCAATAGTGGGTTTGCTTGGGTCAAATGGTGATTCTATTTTAAATTCTCTGAGAAAACTTCAGATGACTTTCCACAGTGGCTCAACTAATTTACCTTCCCACCAGCAGTGTATAAGTGTTCCCTTTTCTCTGCCATCTCGCCAGCATCTGTTATTTTTTGACTTTTTAATAATAGCAATTGTTTAATGATTTTTTTTTCACATGGAAGTTTTTAGTTTATTAATCTTCTTGTGAAAAACCCACAACGGCCACAGATAACATCATTGCAGCACCTTTACTCCTTCGGCTTTTTGCCAGCACCAACATTGGCCTTTGCAGTCCCCCTACTTTTTTCATTCTGTTCTTGCGTTCCTTTCGTTGCTTTCTTGAGGTCTTTTTCTTCTCATACAGGCCATGTCTTGCAAGTCTATGTTTGGGTTCATTTTTCTTTGCATAATCCAGGGAATCGTAAATCTTGCCAAAGCCAGTTGTCTTGCCACCACCAAAATGAGTTCTCAATCCAAATACAAAGATGACGTCCAGTGTGGTCTTGTACATTTTGGCTAGTTTTTCCCAAATTTCTGTGTTAGGCACTGTCACCTTCCCAGGGTGAATGACATCAATGGCCATTTGTTTCCTCTGAAGTCGTTGGTTGGTCATGAACTTGCCAGTGCGGATAGTTACTGTGTTGTTCATGATGGCGGTCTATCCTCAGACAGCCAGGGAAGAAAAAAGCTGGTGATACTTTAAATGGTAATGAAGCTCCATAGCTGTAGAACCAACCATGCACATACTTCAATTGAAGGTGATGCCAATATGAATAGTTATGGTCAAAGGTTGGCACGCACTGTCATAACAACCATGTCAGAGATGCCCGACTGTGAAAGGCTGCCCAATTTCAGATGTGTTACAAGTTTTTAGGCCGGGCATGGTGGCTCACACCTGTAATCCCAGCACTTTGGGAGGCCAAGGTGAGTGGATCACTTGAGGCCAGGAGTTCAAGACCAGCCTGGCCAACATGGTGAATCCCCGTCTCTACTAAAAATACAAAAAATTTAGCCTGGCGTAGTGGTGGGCACCTGTAATCCCAGCTACTTGGGAGGCTGAGGCAGGAGAATCGCCTGAACCTGGGAGGCGGATCTTGCAGTGAGCCAAGATCATGCTACTGCACTCCAGCCTGGGCCACAGAGAGAGACTCCACCTCAAAAAAAAGTTTTTAAAATGTGCATCTTAGAATCGATGAAATACAGGTTTCTGGTTATGTGGGTGACGAGAACCCCATTTTATTTATCTGGGTGACCTTCCCACAGCATGTAGCTCAGTGCTTACATGGAATTTCAAAAATATTTGTTTTCGGAATGAAGCCAACAGTTAATATATATATATTTATTGAGCATTTACCAGGAACAAGATCTACTTGAAATGCATATTTGAAAACCCAAACCAATCCCTTTTTCTTAAAATAGTAATTTGATTCTCCTCATCCTTATTACATTTCTGTAGCTGTTCTTAGCCAAACTGAAGTCTACTGCTATGTCAGTGGGCTTTTTGTTTCTTTTCCGCTTGAGTAATAGACGCCATCTTAGATTTTGGAGAGTTGCACTCCCTCTCCTTGAGGGTGGAGTTTGAGCTGCTCTTTGAATCAGCCTCCTGTGTTTTTCTCCATCTCTTCTTCCCTTCCTGCCCGTGTCCTCGCTTTTGTTCCCACCAAAGGTGTACCTTCTGAGGTCTTTCTTCCAATGTGTGCTTAGTGTTTCTCTCTTCAGATTTAAACACTCCCAGGTTTTGGGCTCAGTCCCCTGTATGCACCTCTGTTTCTTAAATCAGTTTCTTCCCAGCTGACGCTACAGAACACGTTCTTTCCGGGATGCTCTGGTAGAAAGAGGTCTGTGGAAATGCATGCAGCAAATAGCTCATTCCTTGCTGCCTCTTCTCATCGTGCATGTAAGCATATTGAACACTCTGACAAGTCCTGTGTTAAGGACCCCCTCCAAGGGGGGTGAGGGAGATAGGGTGAACTTCATCAGTGTCAGGGGTAGTTTTTTCTGGGAGCATTTGTCTGATTGGGCCCCCTGGGGTTGGATGGGGTAGGCCAAACCAATCTCATGTTTGCTTAGAAGTCAAGAAGGGTCTCCAGGCCAGGGGAGGCTCCACTGCTCCTGTGCTGCTCAGAGCAGGCTCCACTGCTCCTGTGCTGCTCAGAGCACTTGCTGCAGTGTGCTGTTCCCTAGGAGGGACTGACAGGGGAGGTTTACTGAGATGGGCATGAGTCTTGGCATCAGGCAGGCCTGGGTCTGAATCTGCCAACGACCTGCTTTGTGACTTTGCACAAGTTACTTTGCAGCTCTGAGTTTCAGTTCCCTTATCTATAAAGTGTTCATCAGAGTGTCTGTTTTGCAGTATTGTACTGAAGATTCAAGAGAATACTTGCAGGGTACAGACAGAACCCTACAGTCGGGGCTGGAGGACACACCTATACATGGCGGCATCATGGCCATCCACAGAGCAAGCCATAAAGCTTCCTTCGAAAGCCTGGAACAGGCGATTTGGGCAGCACGAAGGCCAATTAGGAAAGAGTGGGCTGTGGGAGAGGTGGGGATAGGTTCCAGTGTCTGAAGGGCCATTCTCTTGAGGCAAGACTGAAATTCTTGCTTGTATCTCTACAGAGCGGAGCTCTGGGCATGGTTTGGATGTCACAGGAAGAGGACTTTTAGCTTAGTTCAAGGAAGAGCTGTTTGTCCAAAGAGGTACTTGGGGTGGAGAGAACCATCTCTTGCACTGTGAAAAGTCTGCAACAGATTCTGGGTGACTATCACCCGAGACCACGCTGGCCTATTCTAAGACACTGACTCTGAGCTGCAGAAACTCACAGCCAGTTGGGGCCAACTCTGGAGCAAGCCAGGAAACACATGATGTTTGTCCATCTTCGAGTTCTCTCTCTAAGGCCCCTGTTCCCTGGCCCGCTGTATCTCCCACCAGAGCTGGTCCTTTCTGGGGCTGGCCCTTGTGGGCCATACACACCGTTCCCTTATCTGCTATACACACTCACATTGCTTTGGTGCCTGGATCTCACCCATCATGAGGGGAATCAACACCAAAATTAATCCACACCGAAGTGTGAGAGACTGACAGGGTCTTATGGCTGTTACTCATCCCACTTCCACATGCCAATATTAATGTAAAAGAGAAATAACCATTCCCTTGGACCTACTGTCCTGTAAGGACATTCCTGCCCAGAAGTAGTTCTCAACCTTAGCCCCCCATTAAAATTACCTGGAGTTTCGAAAATACGGATGCCTGGGTCCCTTTGGGATCCAGGGATGGGATTTCACTGTGGGAGGGGAGGACAACAGGGAGACTGGGCATTGGAAGTAACTGAAAACTTCTCAGGTTGCTAACATGCAGGCAAGGGTGAGGGCCCACAGTGCTGGAGCATCACCCTTGCCCCCAGACACTTTGGGTGCTGCAGCATGCTCTGCTCAGAGGTTGGTGGCTTTTCTCTCTTTGGGGTGCAGGTGTCCTCTGCTCCTCTGTGAAATGCGCTTCAGGGCTCCACTCCCCACAGCTTCTGGTGCTGCCGAGTGTGAGTGGCTAAGATAGTCTCATTCAAGAGTGATGTATTAACAAGCCCCACTGGCGACAGATCTAAGCCAAGTCCTCCAATCAGCTGTGTTAGTAATGAGATGAGTTACTATTCTAAGGATCACACTCCAAGACCGCCTGCCTTCAAATCTAGCCTACTGTTTGATCTTTACCTTCCATGAGCTTCAGTTTCCTTACATATAAACTGGAGATAAATAACTGCATCTACCTGATAGGGTCATTGTAAGGACCAAATGGGACCAAATCATGGAGCATTGTGCCTGGCACTCAGTGAGTACTTGGAAACATTAGCTATTACTATGAACACAATTTTTTTTTAATTAGTTATCTTTGAGATGGAGTCTCACTCTGTTGCCCAGGCTGGAGTGCGGTGGTGCAATCTCGGCTCACTGCAAGCTCCACCTCCTGGGTTCACACCATTCTCCTGCCTCAGCCTCCCGAGTAGCTGGGACTACAGACGCCTGCCACCACGCCCGGCTAATTTTTTATATTTTTAGTAGAGATGGGGTTTCACCATGTTAGCCAGGATGATCCCAGTCTCCTGACCTTGTGATCCACCTGCCTCAGCCTCCCAAAGTACTGGGATTACAGGTGTGGGCCACCGCGCCTGACCACAATATATTTGTTTGAGACAGAATCTTGCTCTGTCACCCAGGGGGAGTACAGTGGTGTGATCTTGGCTCGCTACAGCCTCCACCTCCCAGGTTCAAGCAATTCTTCTGCCTCAGCCTCCTGAGTTGCTGGAACTACAGGCACCCACCACCATGCCTGGCTGATGTTTGTATTTTTAGTAGAGGGAGGTTTCACCAGGTTGGCCAGGCTGGTCTCGAACTCCTGACCTCAGGTGATCCACCACCTCAGTCTCCCAAAGTGCTGGGATTACAGGCATGAGCCACTGCGCCTGGCCGAACACAGTATTTTTATCTCTGTTTCCTGTGTCCTGACTCATTTTTCAGGAACAAAAAAAAAAACACTTGCAGACACTGACTAGCTCAGTCCCTAATGGTGGCAGGAAGCAGCAGGTAGGTGATCAGAAGAGAAATTTCCTATAGCAAATCAGGGCCTGTGATCAGGCCGGCCCCGGCTTGCTACTCAGTTTTACTGACCCCAGCCAGAAGATGGAAAGGAGGAAGCAAGGAAGGGAGTGCCCTGGAAGCAGCCCAGCCTCTTGAGTGGAACAGTGATATGGCTTGGATTTGTGTTCCCACCCACATCTCATGTCAAATTGTAATCCCCAGTGTTGGAGGAGGGGCCTAGTGGGAGGTGATTGGATCATGGGGGCAGTTTCTAATGGTTTAGCACCATCCCCCTAGTGCTGTCTTGTGCTAGAGTTCTCTGGAGATCCGGTTGTTTAAAAGTGTGTAGCACTTCTCTTTTTCTCTCTTTCTCCTGCCAGTCACGTAAGACATTCTTGCTTCCCCTTCACCTTCCACCATGATTGTAAGTTTCCTGAGGCCTCCCGACAAGAGGAAACCTGTACAGCCTGCAGAACCATGAGCTAATTAAACCTCTTTTCTTTATAAATTACCCAGTCTCAAGTATGTCTTTATAGCAGTGTGAGAACAGACTAACACAGGGAACTAGTGTCAAGATGCTGGCAGAAGATTCTGAAGCGGTAGAGGTGAGGCCTCAGGAGCCTGGCTGGCCTTCAAGGGTTCCTGCTTCCTCCTGTCATGTGTGTCATCCTTGGGCAGGGCTTTCTGTCCACTCCATGTTCTCCTCGTGGTTCTTAACTCCTCTCCTTGTTATCCAGGACATCTGCTTTATATGCATTTTCTCCATGGAGAAATGGCTCTGTAGCAAAGATTAATCCTGACATAAGTAAGAGACATCTGGAAACAATTGACCCTGCTGATTCTTCTCTTCTCTCCTAGGGCCTTAGGGTTTTCGGTGGCTGTGCTCCAAGGCCTCACTGGGGAGCTGGAGAGGCCCATTTCAGTGGGTGAACAGATGGAGGCTCCTGGGCTGAGTCCTTCCCAGAGGCTGGGTGGTGGCCAGCCATGGTCATGGGCCAAGGTCACTTGTTATTGTGCTGGAAGGACAGGGCTAGGACTGGAGGTCAGGCCAACCCAGGGTCTCAAGACCCATTCCAGGCAGGACGGGTCCCAGCAATAGGCTGCCATGCT